GTCTGTGTGGGAGAGATGAACAATAGATTCCCCTCATCACCTCCTGCCTCCTACTCATTGACAATGGTGTCTGGAATGCAAGGTTGAGGTTGCTCTCAGTCTCTCAACAAGAGAGCCCATGGAGTCCTGTCACCAATGTACCATCTAGCAGGCAGGTGGGGTGGGATGGGCACAATGGGAGTGGAGGCTTCCACACCTGTGTTTTCTACCTTTATGCTCTGGGCTGGTTGAACTTGTCAAAAATAGGTGTATAGTATTAAGAGATTGAGTGGGCCAGAGGGGCTTTTCTAAGAATAAAAAGCATTTATTTTTTTAACTTCCTAGAGGTTACTGGTTTGTTTATTTTCTGATTCTTAAAAGGGTTCAGATAAGTATGAATACCAAATAGTTAAATTCTGGGTAGTTTTTTTTTCCAATGGTAATTATGAATTCCTGGAACATAAATAGCCACTCTTGTATTTTCTTCCTTGTATATCTCTTAACAGGGAAGAAAAAACTTCTGTAGTGTATACTTTGGGAAGTTTTTTGAGGAAGTTAAGGTTATCATTTATTGAGAACTCACTAAGGAGAAAGACAATAAACAAATGAAACAAAAATATAACTGTAGGTTTTTACAGAAATTCCACAAAGCCCAGTTATATTTTATGTATGCATACATGCCCATGTATATACTTATACACACATGTGCCTATGTAACACCTCACACATACATGGTAAAGAGGTGGAGCCTGCAAACAGAAGGCTTGGGGTTGAGCCTTCGTTCTACCCCTTATTACCTATGTGCTCCTTAACAAGGCACTATTTCCTTTTTTTTTTTTGAGGGGAATATATTGTCTTTATTATTTTTATATAGTAATGGTACACATTTATAAGGTACAATGTGATATTTTGACTCAAGAATACACTGTGTAATGATCAAATTAGGGTAATTATCATATCCACCTTAAATTTTTATCATTTTTATACTCAGTACATTTAAAATCGTGTCTTCTATTTTGAGACATACAATGAATTATTGTTAACTATAATCATCCTGCTGTGCAATAGAGCAGCAGAACTCATTCTTCCTATCTAACTATAACATGAAGGGCCTGCCTAGAATAGTCAAGCTAGAAGGCACTATTTCCTAATCTATAAAATGGAAAACAATATTGCTCTGCAAAACCCCAGGACTTGTTCTGAAAACTAAATGTGAAAATGTAGATGGTTTATAAAGTGTTATTCAAATTTTTATTGTTATGTGTTAAATATCGGGGATGCAAATATTCAGTTACAAGAATGATTAGTGAATGGGTTTGAATGGAAGAGATTAGAACAGCTTTGTGACACGGTCTTACACAGAATTTGAGGAATGTGATTTTATGTGATGGGGTGGGAAATGCAGGCTAGGGAATCCCATGTGCACTATTTCAGAATTGGACCAGGGTAAAATCTGCAGACTTACTGGGCTGCAGGCAAGCTCAAGAGCGCCTGTGTGTTTGTCAGACAGTGATTGAAGGCACAGTTGGCATGGACATTAAACTCCACGATTAGGGACTTTAATTGATCTCAAAGGCAATTAAGCCCCTCTGCTGGGCTCTGAGAATGGGGTGTTATCTGAGGTCAGCAGCAACATTCTGAGTGCTAGCTTTGGCCTATTTTGAAGCTAAAGAGCAGCAGAAGATTAAGAAGATTAAACTGAAATATAACACTCAATCCTCTGTGTTTGGCCAGTTCCTAAAATGACCTTTTAAAGTGTTTAGTGTCTGAATTCAGGTCACATCATCAACACAACCATGCAGAGGAGATTAATGATTAATAAGCATCATTCAAACCATTGGCAGCATGGTAGAGTGGACAGAGTTCTAAGCTGACACAGTCTGCTCATCTGTTTGAGGTGACTGGAAATCCAAGGGGAAAAGAATTAAAGAAGTGAGGGAGCAGGTGAATGATCACAGGATTTTGTGCATGTATTCCAGATGTTTGCTATGTACCTATATAGTGAAAGGCAACATGCTAGGTGTTACTGAGACTCCATATGTGGGTAGAGTACGTGCCTTACCTATTAATGGAAAAAGAATACATACATATAATCATGATGGAGATAATAGTGATGATGATGATTAGAACATACATGGGCCAGGTGTGAGAGATAATAGAAAGGTACAAAAAAAAAAAGTTACAATACAGGATCTAGAAGATTCTCTGGGTCATTTCCTATACCCTAGATATTGATCATTTTCTTCATTAGACAGTTTGATCTGTGTTACCATGCTGTAGGCAGTAATTAAGGTTTGAGACTCTTTAGAGGTAAAAATTTAGAAAAATTTACCACAAACATTTAATTGTTTTGAACCACAGCACTTTAAAAAGGGGGAGGGTAGAGCAAGCGCATGCACATGTGTGTAGGAGAGAGAGAGCGAGAGCCAATTAGAGAGAGAGAGACAGACAGACACAATATGAATGAGAATATCTAATTCAATATTTTCATTCCATGGATTAGGAAACCTAGGTCAAGGAGATAAAGCAATTGGCTGTGAAATACAGAACAAGACAAAACTTGATTTTCCTGATTTTTTAATTCCTATAATCATCTATTATGCTGGGCTTGGAAAGATTTTTATAAGGTACAATTACAGGAAGCATAATCTGTGAAGTTTTTGTTATCTTAAGAAAGTGTAGTGTTTTGGTTGTTATTAAAGGAAAAAAAATCAAAGTTAAAAATTACTTGKTTTTTTTTTAAAGAAATGTGAAGAGGATGTATTTTGTCCTCAATAATCTTACAAGTTTCTGATTTTTGTCATTCACTTAAAATTTGAGCCATTTAAATTTTGATTAATTAAAATTTGATAGCTTAAGTGTAGCATGCAGAAAATTATGCAGGTATATTTACATATTTTTAATGCTATGAAAAAATATGTAAATATACCTGCATAATTAGCATAAAAAGCATAGATAAGGAAAATTTTTTTTCCAAAATACTATTCAATGTAGAGCTTAACAAATTTAGTAGGAAATACTGCAGTTGTATAGAGAGTTGGCAAGATTGATTTCACATTTATTTCTGCCAAGAAAACTGAAAAAAATACAAGTTAAAATGACTAAGGAAAGAACACGGACCAACTAAATGGAGTCAAGGTGGAATGTCTCAGCGGAACATTAGGCCATTGTTTCTCAGTCTGGCATGAAGACTCCCAGCATCAGAGTCACTCCGGAATCTATAAAAATGCAGATTATAGATTTTGGTATGAAGGCTCTCCCTTCATAACAAACTAGAATCCCAAGAGGGGAACATGTTCTCTGGTTGATGATGTACACTTGGGATTTTCTCAAGGCAACAAAAATATGTTTCTATTGAATTCTGCAGCTGTTGGTCAAAAATGTGTTTAGTGGTAAAATTTATCAGAGGCCACTGACTTGAACAGAGCTCCTGCATGAGGCCCCAACAGACCTAATCATAATGGAGTAATTCATACTGAAGTTCCAGATCCCCAAATCAAAACCAACTTGTTTATCTAACCTTCTAAGAAATCAGGAGAAAGGTGATGGACAAATCCCCAACCAATCAGTTCTCCCCAGCATGATAAGGAAGTCCGCCCTGTTTTAACCTTTACCTGGAAAGGAACCTGGAACAACCTGATGTTAACCAGTCCACTTTTTTTTTTTTTTTTATTAGGCCATTGTCTTGTTTCTGCTCAAACTGCCATACAAAAACAGACTGTTCTGCCATGCCCAGTGTAGCACTCCTCTATTTATAGATGAAATGCTGCTTGATTCAWGGATTGAAAATAAAAAGCTAATTATAGGTCATTTAACCAAATTTTCTGAAATTCTATCTTGTAAGAGTGATTTGAAGTAGAAGGAAATAGGTCAAGTCAGATGAAGGGGACATCTCTAGAAGTAGAGAAAAGAGATCAGAGAACAAATGCACTTGGGGAACAGGATCCAGCTGCAACTGCTCTGCTCAGGTGCTTGCTGATTTGTTTTCTGTGTTTCCCACAACAGTGCTGGTGTTCTCCACAGCCCTGGCTGAGACCCTGTGCTCTTCTCATTATGCAGTCTCTGGTAGATCTTAACCATGCCAGACTTCAGGCTCTATGACCCAGTGCTCTTCCTTGGCCTTTACCTTCTGCCAGATCACTGCTTCATGTCTACCTGCATCTGGGCATCTGTCCCCACACTTAAGCTTATCTGTATTTCCCATAGCATTTTATAAAGTTTCTGTCATTAAAATCGACAAAAATAAGAAGTAAAAGATGCAAAAATCTTGTTAACCTCTTGAAACAGGATATACATGCTACTAGGTTAGCCCTTGACTTTGGGCTTTGAAAAATAGAGGTACTAAGCTGGTCATATACAAAGTCGGTTCAGTATAGTTAATCTAACTCAAGCGTCCCAAAATAGATAACTGTGACTATAACGTAAGCACAGAAACACACCTAACTCAACCCAATTTGTAGCTAATTCAACCCAAGCACCCATTTTATTGAACAAATTCCAATTCACTTGGGATAGTTCATAACATACGGGATGTGTCAGCAATAAACTCAGAAATTTGAAGATAAGACATGTGGCAATATACATTAAGCCTGAACGGTTTTTAAAAAAATAATAATTATAAAAACAGCTAAATACCATCTACCTCTGACTTATACATAGTACACTCAGGGAAAGATGTGCTTAAGTTCAAAGTCTTTTTTTTATTATTATTTTTTTGAACAGAATTTTGTTTATGTGTTTTTTATGTTAGAATGAAAAAGCAGATAAAGTGTACTATTAGCAACCCATGGAATGACATCTCCAGCTAGTTAGGACGCCCTATCCTGAGAGCTACTGTAAGACAATTAGAGAAAGAAGGACTTTGGAATGCTGGCGAATCCCAGCTAGAGCGGACTCAAGAGCAGGGCCACCGTGGCAAGAGGCGACAAGAGGAGCCAGTTTAAGAACCGTGCAGGGATGGAGCATTGTCCTCTGTCAAAACACATATCCACAGGTTCCTAATAAACCATCTTCTGTTCTAGAAAAGAAACTTTGCAAACTAATAAAAGCTAACTGCAGCGGCAGAGCGTGCGGGGAGGACTCCAAGTCGCGCTTGTGCGCATGTGCGGAGGGCTACGCGCTCAGCCGAGACCGGAAATCCTGTGAAGGTAAAGCGCGCCCCGCGGAGGGCGGGGGAGTGTCGGTCTCCAAGAACTGTCTYGAGGGGCAACGAGGGCGTCACCGGGAAATCGACTTCAAGTTAGCTTGCTTTAACCCAGGAGAGCACTTTTATTTATTTTTTTCTTCTGTTTTTAAAGTCTTTATAATACTTCGAGGTCCCTTTTTAAAAACAATATCCTGTGTTCCTACCTCAGATACACAGGCTGCTCGGGAGGGGGAGGGGATTCTCTGAGCCTCTTTGCGTTTGAATTTGTGCAAAATTTCAGGATAGACACTTTTTAAGAGAGCAGCTCCATAGCTACCATCGGATTCTCAGAGCATATGACTGTCACATCGTATTCCATAAAGATCTAATCTGGGACGACGCAAACAGAGGCTCAGGCTCGTCCTCTAGGACGCCTCCTGTTTCAAAATTCCAAGCCCTATTTAATGAACCCACGAGACGTCTGCATCCCTTTTCCTGGAAGGTGCTGTGATTTAGGGATGAAAAGAACCCAATGGCTGCAGGACACATTAAGTGGCATCAGTTGCGGGTAAATCTGGCACCTAGTTATAGTCCCCTGCTTACAGGGCACCAATGGGAAAAGCTGTGACGTGCAGAAGCTGTGAGCTGGAAGGCTGGCGCTTCCGTTGGAGCAAAGCTGCTAAGGAGTGTTTCTACTTTTAGGGGAGGGGCTCCCCTTGGGTCTTGAGAAAAGTAAATAGCAGAACAGGAATTGTCCAAACTGATTAAGAAACTTCCAACAGTTCCTAACTTGAATGGCATGCTGTATCGTTTCAAGGCATATAGTGCTATATGTTTATCAAAAGTTAATTCTAGTCCGAAAAATCTGTATAAACTATAACAGTAGAAATGCCTTTCATGATCATCGGACTGATTTCTTTTTCTCTTTCTGAGAATTGGAAAAACATCCCTCCCTGGTGGTCAGTTACAGCATATACCACCCTACTTTGTGCTTACTAATTAGTAATAGCACAATTTATTTTCAGAAACAACCATTTTATTGTGATTTGCTTTTGTCATTGTATAGATGTCAATGAATGTGCCTTTTGGAATCATGGCTGTACTCTTGGGTGTAAGAACATTCCTGGATCCTATTATTGCACGTGCCCTGCAGGATTTGTTCTGCTTTCTGATGGAAAACGATGCCATCGTAAGTCACAAAAACAAGTATTTATTGCATTATTCTTCTTAATTTTCAATAATGTTTTTGAGTGAACTATGATGGGTTGATAGGCTTCAGTTAGCAGTGTGCATCAGAATTACCTTGGAGTTTTATTTTGTTTTGCTTTTTGAAATATGGATAACTACATTTTACTATAGATATTTAAAATAAAAACTACCAGGGTTGGGATACACACACACACACACACACACACACACACACACACACAATATAATCTGTGCCTGAGTAAGTCATTGTTTCTAGGTCTTTGGGGGCATCAATGCTGGCAATATACATATTAAAAAGAAAAAGATATATTCTAAATGTATATGGATATTCCCCGTGCAAATTTAGGATTAAATATTCAGATACCTTAAGGTAAATTTTTTTATTGAATCTACTAGTATGGCTAAGTACAAATGAGAGTTTCAACTCATGTTCATTATCTATTCCTTCTTCAAAGATGGTGGAATAGGTCAGTCTAGATATCGTCTATGCTTATGAAAGCAGGCACATTGAAATGGATGAATGATAATTGTTAGGGTACCTGGTGCAAATATCCATAAGAGACACATCTGAGTCAAGCAAAGATTTATTTACAGAGAATATCTGCCAGGCTGCCTTTCTTCAAGGAGCAACAGCCTGCTGAAAAAATTTAACTATATAGTCATGTAYAATGAAGTGGTTAAAAAATAACCCAGAGGGCTGGGGTTGTGGCTCAGTGGCAGAGAGCTTGCCTTTCACATGTGAGGCACTGGGTTCAATCCTCAGCACCACATAAAAATAAATAAACAAAATAAAGATATTGTGTCCATGTATAACTAAAAAATATCAAAAACCAAAATATCCCAGGGTCCTGTGATTGTTACTTGGCATCTTTGTTGTGGTTTCAGTAGTTAGGGACTCTTTGGAGATGGCTTAACGAGAAGGTCATGCATGGGTGGGATTCTTAAGATGACAGGTGCTGATTTTCAAAATGGAATTACTTTGGCCTAAGGACCTAACAATAATGAATTTCTTGGAAATTATCCAGCWTGCTTGTGCTTGTCTATGAAATTTGCCCCTCTCTTAATATCACAAAGTTTGCCCACTGGCAAATATACTGAAGTACACGATGTAAATTCCTCATAGGGCCCACTGTGTACCAAGTGTGGCAAATGTAATCTCACTTGATTCTCAAACCTTCTAGAAGTTTAATGTTACATATGCAATGTCATATTTGACTTGCTTGGAATTTATTTTAATATTTGCTATAGGGTAGAGATTTATATTTCTCTCCCGAATCATTATTCAGTTATTTCTATACCATTATTGGATGATCTTTCACATGCTCACTAATTTTAAAATAACATTTTACGCAGTATGTTCTTATGTATACTTTAATCTTTTCTAACCTGAGCTTTCTGTCCTGTTGTATTATCTTCTGTCTATTCCTACACCCATTCTCCACTATTTTAATGATTGCACATTATTATGCATATAGATAATTTATCATACATTTTAATATTTGTTAAGAGCCTCTCATTTCTCTTCCTACACCTAACTACACTCATAAAATGTCCTTAGTTTTTTTTTTTTTTTTTTTTTTTAGTACATGAAATCTGTTTTCCAGGTGAACTCGAGAATCACTTCTTCAGGTTCCAAAACTCTCAGAATTTTGATGACTAAGAGCTTGAAAAATCTTATTTGAGATAATAGAAATTCAGAGGAAACTAGATACATTTTCCAAAATCAGAACTCTTTCTGTTTTCAGATTTGAAATTTTTTCTTTATACCTCCAATTACCATGGCATTTCATAAATGTTTGTTCTTTCTTTAACTTCTTTTTTTTTCAGGAGAGCACTTTTTGTTAGCAACAGATTGTAATAAAGTTTCACAACTCTGATTTAACACTAATCTTAACTTTGTTCTTCATTAATTAGCATTCATTTCCTGTCCAAGCAACGCATCTAAATGCAGCCATGGATGTGTTCTGACATCAGATGGGCCCCTGTGTTTCTGTCCTGAAGGCTCAGTGCTTGGGACAGATGGAAAAACATGTAGTGGTGAGTTTATTTGCCTCTTGTTGGTTTGAATATAAACATTTTCTAAGTGATACCCCAAAACTGATCTTATTGCCAAAGGAGAATAGATTTTCCAGTATTACACACTGAAAAGTATTTATGTAACAGATTAACACATAGATTTAAATTTCTTTTTAGAAAAAATGCGTATTGTAGTGGTTTTGATCAAGGGCTTTGAAGTTAGTCCTTAGGTAGTATTACCAGTTACAGTTATGGCAGTGTGTTTTAGACTATAGTTACTTGACCTCTTTTAGTCTTTGCTTCCTGGTCTGTAACAATACTGACTTGCCTCCTGGATTGAATGAGATGGCAGAGGCAGAGTGTCCTCAGTCTGTTGATTGCACCTAATAAGGAACTCTCTACTTTTATCTTTATAGAGGTTTATGCATAAAGAAGTCTGGATATAACCCGAGATTAGCAGAAAAGTCATGTACAGCTTTATGATTTTTAAATTAAAAAATAGAGGGGCTGGGGATGTGGCTCAAGCAGTAGCRCGCTCKCCTGGCATGCATGGGGCACTGGGTTCAATCCTCAGCACCACATAAAAATAAAGATGTTATGTCTACCGAAAAAAACTAAAAAATAAATATTTTTTAAAAATAGAAGAGAATGCTAATTTTACAGGGTGAAGTGTGCCCATTTTTTTATTTATACCATACAATTTATTTTTATTTTTTTAGTCATACATGACAGCAGAATGTATTTTGACATATAATACATACATGGAATGYACATACATCAATCATATTGCCTATTCTATTCTGCTGGAAGTGTGCCCATTTTTAGAATTAAAAGTAAAGCCAATTAAGATTTTTTAAAACCTAGGAAATGCAAAAGAAGAGACTGAAAATGCAAGAGAGAAAAAAATGCATTACTCGTTAGAAAGAGTTAGACCAGCTGCCACACCCACTAAAACTTACTGTGTTCTTCAACCAGTTGTCAGCATGCTTGTTCTTGAACTCAGGGGTGCAACAAGAGGATGGGGGCCATTGGAATGTGAGGCATTATCATTCAAGATGTTGAGTTTACTGAAGGGGGGCACTTAGGATATTCCGAAAAATAAACTTGATTGCAGCTGTCTGAATGATTGAGGAGGTGGTTTTCAAAATCAACATATAGTTGGTACATTCCATACTTTGATGAAAATTATAATATATTGAATGACAACATCATTACAAAGCAACTKTTTTTTGTAGGCTGTTCATCACCTGATAACGGTGGCTGTAGCCAGCTCTGTCTTCCTCTCAGCCCAGTATCTTGGGAATGTAGTTGCTTTCCTGGGTATRACCTACAACCAGACCAAAAAAGCTGTGCAGCTTCAGGTTAGTGCTGGGGTTGTTTGGAAGTGTGTTTCTGCAAAAGATAACATGAAAGTATTTTATTTAGAAAGATGGGAAGTTGAATTGCTTTTGGCTTCTTGATAGAAGATCTGATTTTTTTATTTTTGGAAATGGAAAATAAATCTTATGAATATGAATAATTAATTATAACATAAATAATAATCATGCTTTTAAAGAATATTTCTGGCACCCAGCAAAAAATATTTGCCATAATGTCATATATGGTATTTTTAGTAGATWAGAAAGTTATGGGGGCTGGGGATATAGCTCAGTTGGTAGAGTGCTTGCTTTGCATGCACAAGGCACTAGGTTCAATCCCCAGTATCACACAAAAAAAGAAAGTTATGAMCAGAATAGTCTTAAATACCTTATATTATTTAAGTATATACTTATATACTTTATAGTTAAGAGGTGTTCAATAATATTTGTTAGTTGATTTGATTTTCATCTCTCTAGTGAATGCAATAATTATAATACTTTGATAAATTCTGTTCTTTTTCATGTCAAAATTTAATATTAAATTGTATGCTTCTGCTATTTTTTCATCTTCTGATATTTATCTCTTGTGTCCTTCAACAGCCTTGGAAATCTTAGATTTATGCCAAATGCATTTCATTCATAACGTTCTCCTGAATGTTAATTATGCTGATAATTGGAATAACATAATAATGATTCTATATAGCTGGACTTAGAGCACAATACTCTCAACTTTTCAAGGCCTCAGTAATATAGTATAATTTGAGTACTGAGAATACTCAAGGGGTCTTATTATAAATTTAAATAATTACATGTCCCTTTCAGAAGAGCCTAGGTCAAGGAAGTTTATTTATTCCAATATGAATTCAATATGTGTGAAACAAGGAGRTTACAGCCCTAAGATTTGCATCATTTAATTATGCTTTTGGTAATTTAGTGTGACTTTTTAAAAGTGATTTGCATTTTAAAAGCAGACATCTAGAGAAGAAGAATCTAGTGATGAAATTCTTGCAATGTGCTACTTCATGGTACAGAATGGCTTCCTGCCTGTCTTTGCCTATATCACACTTGTGGGAAACTAAGAAGACTAACATTGTAGAAATTGAAGAAGAGGGTGCAATGAAAGGGGAGAGTCAGAAGTGCCTTTTGTGTTTTAAGGCATGCTTTAAACACAGACATATTGGAAATTTAATTAACAGGACCACAACCATTTTTGATGTTTGCCAATTCTCAAGATATTCGTCATATGCACTTTGATGGAACAGATTATGGAACCCTGCTCAGCAAGCAGATGGGAACAGTTTTTGCACTAGATCATGACCCTGTGGAAAATAAGGTATGGGTTTGTTGCCTGAACAGATGTGAGTGTGCTATAAAGACAGAACAGAGGAGATTATCCTAACAGATGACATTGGCTACTTGAAAATCTTCTGTTAAACTGAGAATGATTAGACCTGTAACAACTTACATGTAGATAGTGGAACATCATTTGGGAAATCATAAGGCTTTCCTGTTATCATATCCCTAGGCAGGGTTCTTGCTGGGATTCACTGATTTTATTGGGGATGATTGTACAGGATTATCAGGTTAGTTTCCTCTTTGGAGATGAGGATAGGAGACTAGCACAAGTTCATGCAAAAGGAGCTCCATAAATAGGTTTTTTGATTATTTGCTAGTAGTGGGAAGAATAGGGGGTTAAAATTGGGCCAAAATATAAATTAGTAATTTGCATTTAATACATGTCATTGAGAGAGGGAATTACATGACCTTTGAACTATGAAAATCCGAAAGCACAGTTTTATGACTGTTGTGGGAATGGCAGTCTTGCAACATTATTTATRTAATACTTAATTTTACATAAAAGTTTTTTTATGTAACTTAGAATTTCTATATTATTAAGGCTGATCAGTCCCTCTTTTATTTCTTCTTTTTTTAAATATCCAGAATATGTTTATTTATTTTAAAATATTTCCATTAACTAACTTAATGATTAATGTTCTTATTTTCTTGCTACTCAAACTCTGGTATTTGGCCCAACCAGCATCAACATCACCTGAAAATACAACTACAAGACTAGTAGGCTCCTCTCCAGTCCATTGAATTCAAATCTACATTTTAACAAGATTTCCAGGTGATTCATATGCAAATTTGAGTTTGAGAAACACAGTTCTAGTAGAGTTTTTTCATGAAAAGTACCCATATTTGTCTTTATGAAATATTACCTCTTCTTTACGAATGTAACTCATCAAATAATAATTCATTCACAAAACAGGAATTCATTAAATAATAGCCTATTAAAAATACTATGAGCCAGAAGACAATTTAATGGAATTTGTGGAATTTTAATCATGAGCACATATGTTTACCTAAACCTATAATTGATGAGATTATTAGGTAAACATGAGCTCCCGGTTAAAATTCCACAAATTCCATTAAATTGTCATCTGACAATTTAATACTCTGATGAAATTCTTATGTCTGATAGCCTGCATACTAGTTTGAAAAAGAACTTTGTGCCTATAAAATTGGATAAGACAGATGAATTAAAATAAAATTATGTAAGTTTAGAGATGAAAGGAACCTTAGGAAATATCTAACTTCCTCATTTTTGTAGTCTGGAAAATTGAGGTTAAGTGACTTGGCCAAAGCTGTCCTGCAAATAAATTAGAAAACTGAGAGGAACCCATGTCTCTTGAGTTTCCCTGAAGTACAGTGCTGTGTGAACAGTAGAAGATACAGTTTACTTAGTGTCCTCATTAAATTACACATCATTGCTCCCTTTCAGGCTGTAGAGGCCACTGATGTGTTCCAGTGCAAAGACTATGTCATTGACCAATGATCAAATATTCTTTTAACCTTTATTTTATTTATTCATATTTTATGTGGTGCTGAGGATTGGACCCAGTGCCTCACACATGCCAGGCAAGTGCTCTACCACTGAGCCATAACCCCAACCTCCAGTGATCAAATATGAAAAAACAATGAGTAGACTATGTGCCAGGAACTAAGAATTTATGTATGCATATCATGTGACCTAATGAGGCTGATATTATATTCCTATTCTACCAATAAGAAAACTAAGACTCTGAGACACTAAGTAACTTGCTTTTGGTTACACACAACTGGGAGCAGCATAGTTGGGGTTTAGATGCTAATGTGTCTAACTAATTTTTAAACCGGGCTCTTAACAATTTCACTTGGTGACCTGAAGGCTTACTCATCCCCTTTGTCTATGTTCCATGTTCAGTTTTTAAAGACAAATCAGAAACACCTGTTTTCTCTATTGCAGATATATTATGCCCACACAGCTCTGAAATGGATAGAGAGAGCTAATATGGATGGTTCCCAGAGAGAAAGGCTTATTGAGGAAGGAATAGATGTACCAGAAGGTCTTGCYGTGGACTGGATTGGCCGCAGATTCTACTGGACAGACAGAGGGTATGTTTCCTGGTTCACTTTTAAGCCACAGGAGATGGAAGCAATGAAAAAGATATACCACTTGCTTTATCCTCCATTTTGAACACAGATAAATATTGCTGGGTGCTTGGCATCCAGCCAGTGGAGAAGACAGGCCCCATTGCTGTCCACTTCCCTGCCTCTGCCCACCATCAAGCAAGATACTACTCCCTTCATCAAGACTGAATCCATATCCACAGAAGGATTTCAAAGACCAAGAAAGCAGCCATCTGTTTTTGCCCCTCAGATTGTGTGTGTGAGAAACCCAAGGCCTGTCTGAACACAGTTAGTAAGCATTCTTTGAGTAATGCTGAGGATGAGGCACTCTCCTAGGTAACATGGGAGAATACAAAGGAGAATGGGATGTGCTCGTCTGCAGTCAGCTCTTAGTTTATTTGGGGAGGTAAGGTATATTTCCTTAGCAAAACCTTAATCAAGTACTTGGATTAAATATCAGTACAAGAAATGTCGAGGCCTAATATAATTGCTCAGTGAAGGGTGTACACTCCCCAAGGGATTGCTGGAAGGAATTTCAGAAATCAGCTAGCCTAAGTGTGTTCTTTTTACACGTGAAGAATGTAAAGCTCATAGAGTCTGAATTATTCCAGAGTTCCCAGMATTCAAGAGATAAATGTGGTTCCAGTTGAGCCAGCATGAAGTGGGGCTTATGGTGTTTTGATGAAATTTCAGGGGAACAGAGGGATGGTCCACTTTCCTTTTGGTGGGTAACCACAGAATCAGAGTGAAGTTGGGGTATTTCTGTCCTCTGGGTACCCTACTCTCAGGGCTGCTCTGTGTGAGCCTGGGAACAGAACAGGGTGGGGTGGAGGAGAGTCAATAAGAAGGATTGCATTCCTTATGGTGCCAGAGGAACCTTAAACCAGAGCCCCTCACAGGAAAATATGAAGGGTGCTGTGTGTTCTAGGATATTTTGTCAAAATAACTGAGTGCCATGAAGTGAAACGGTAGCCATCCTGGGTATCAGGCAACTATGCAGCCATGTTTCACCTCTGGGAAGACAGCACTTCTTACATGGCCAAGTCCCAGGGAATGGGTTTATATGCTTGAGTGTAGGTTTTCTATGTCCTAGAAAATCTCATTTGGTCTGGATAACTAATAGGAAACAGGTTCTACAAAACAAGCCACATGTACRGTATGGTGTGAAGTTATGTATAAAATGGCCCTTCAGTTTTCAGGGCAAGTTTATTTTTTACACATTCATTATTCATTTGTTYACTTAACCAGACCTTTATTACTTTATTATTTGTATATTTACTTATTGAACAACTATAATGCATTAGACACTGGGCTAAGAGCCTTATACCCATGATACTATGAAATCCCAAAGAGGTAAGTTTTCTTACCTCCAATTTAAAGGTTAAGAAAATCAATAGTCAAAGAGGTAAAATGACTTTCCCAAGATCAAGGAGCATATAAGTAGTAGATATGAAATTGGAATGCAAGGATAACCATCTCTAAAGCTTATCCTCTTAAGAGATGGGCTGGGATTATAGCTCAGTGGTAGCGCTATACTAATATCCTGTGATATTAAATTACATAGTAACTCTTTGCCAAATAGGAGCCAAAGAGGGATGGTTATAGTCTCTACTGGCCCAGGTATAGGCACGTTCAAATTAATATCTTACACCTAGGAAGCTCTACCACTGAGTTATACTCACCCCATGGTTCAATTTCTAGCACCACAGAATAATTATGGAGATGTTCTGCCTCCTTCAATCAGAGTTGATTAATGTGCTCCACACAGAGTCATATAACAAATTAAAGTCAGTTATCAAAATTATAAATCATAATAACAGCCTCCTCCATGTTGAACTACTTAATAGAAATTTTAAATATCATCTATGCATAATAATAGAACTCAAACAGAGTTGTTCTTGTAAGAGTAAATGTTGATCAGGATGACAGTTGTCAACCACTCTTAGGCTTTCTAAGGATGCTTGGTCTCCTCATATTTCCCCATATTTGCAAGTCACCTCTAATTTTAACAGTGTTTGATTAATAGCATCATGGTACCTACTGCAGAGGCAATGCCTTCAGGAGATAGAAACCTCCATATCCTGGAGAATAAGACCTCAAATCCCCTACTTTATTGACTTCAGTAATAACTAGTCCTTTTTAAGTCCTCACCCCTCTAAAGACAGCTGCTAAAAGACAACCTTTAATTTGTCTGCAAATGAGAGGTTTATAGTTTGAAAACCTTGATATTAGTTAGAAATTGAATTTAAATACTGAGATTCTAATCCTGTGATATTAGATTACATAGTAACTCTTTGCCAAATGGGAACCAAAGAGGGATGGTTATAGTCTCTCCTGGCGTAGGAAAAGGCATGTTCAAATTAACATCTTACACCTAGGAAGGAAACTAATTAATAATTTCACTGGCAATGCTATTATTTAGTATTAAGGAATCCTGATTTCTAAAGCCAATTGCCCTGTAAAAAAAGAGGCAAGAAGGTAAATGTGTTTACTCATTCTATGGGGGTAACAGAAACTACCATAAGATAAAATTTACTCTTAGGATTCTTTTTTTTTTTTTTTTAGATTTACATTCACAATATAATCAAAAACATTAAATAGGAATAGGTTTTTTATTTTTTCTTTTTTTATTGGTTGTTCAAAACATTACAAAGCTCTTGACATATCATATTTCATACATTAGATTCAAGTGGGTTATGAACTCCCATTTTTACCCCAAATACAGATTGCAGAATC